GCCCGGGTAAATTTGGTGGCAGCTCCCCAGTGTGCAGAGGGGTTGTCCTGTGCCAGGAGCCCTGAGGGGTATTTTCAATGTGCTGCCCTCCCCACCTCTGCTAGCCATGTTCCCCTTCAGCTGCAGCATTTCCTATTACCCTTTCAGGAGCTGTTGCACCCATGAGACCCCACAAATGCTACCCCAGTGGGGAGGAGGGCACAGTCAGAACCTGGGGAAAGGGGCTGGGGGGGTCTGGCTGGGGTTGCCAAATACTCACAGTCCTGTTGCACCTGCTGGGCTGTTTCATGCACGTATCGGACCAAATTGCGTAGAAAGAGTTTGGAGTGGGAATAGAGCTTTCCCATATCACCCTCGGCTACAGCCTGGCGGGTCCATGGCCGGTAGAATTGGATGCTCCAGTCGACAGGATCCAGCACAAAGATGGGCACATCCCCCAAGAAAGTCGCTCCGGACACCTTGGCAGAGCTAACGTTGGCAAAGATGCTGGTCAGGAGCAGCTGGAGAACCTGCAGCTCTGCCAGGAAAAAGGATGGGGATGGGAAGTGCTGCAGGAAAGAGGAGATGAGTGGGGGGGGGTGTGTGGAGGGGAAACAGGGGATTCAGACAAGATATAAGGAAGAAATTTTTTGCACTAAGTGTGGTGAGGCACTGGCACAGGTTGCCCAGAGAGGTGGTAGATGCCCCATCCCTGGAAACATTCAAGATCAGGTTGGATGGGGCTCTGAGCAACCCGATCTAGTTGAAAATGTCCCTGGTCATTGCCGGGGGTGGGGGTTGGACTAGATGACCTTGAAAGGTCCCTTCCAACCCAAACCATTCTGATTCTATGCTCTTTCTATGCTGTATGATTCTACACCCCACATCATGGGGACCTCCAGCAGCCTGGCAACTCCCCAGCCATGTCTTCACTGGACTCCAACCTCCTCGCTCGCCAAGAGTTGCTTTCCTGTCTGAACTTCCTCTGTCTCCACTGCTCTTTTTCCTTCTCTATTTTACTTTCAGTGAGATATTTCTCTCCCATACAGGATTTCAAGCACCTCACCCCCTCCCCTCCCTGCCTCCCTCCTGCCCAACGCCTGCTGTCTGGCTGTGCAGAGCGGATGGTGGGGGGCACCTCAGCATCTGTTTGGGGCAAGGCTTCCTACAAAAGAAGCACCCATGCCAGGACCAGGATCTGCGAGAGACCTGCACATGGTGCAGAGGACATGGAGGATGGAGGAGGGGAAAGGGCATTTTGTCTAGGTTTGGGGGCTCCCGGACATCAGGAGCTCAAGGAGACCGAACCCTGCCAGGGGCAGGGGAGCAGCTCAGCCCAGAGATCAGTCCTGTGTTCCAAAGCCTGCTGGTGCCTCCCCGGAAATGTGAGGTCTCACAAGGTTGTGGTGAAACGCTCTGTGTGATGGCAGTGCCCCAAACACCCTCTCACAGATGCAGCTCCCCAACAAACAAGGGGCTGCTGGAAGGGGCCGACAGCACCACGTGGAGCTGAGACTCCCCTGGTGCCCACAGGCTCCCCACAGGAGGAAGGCGCCTTTGGGAGAACCCCACCCCAGGCCTGGCTGGGGACATCTGGCCCCACTTCTGCTTGGGTGCCCAAGCCCCTGTGCCAGTGGGGCATGAAGCCATGAGCTGGAGGCAGGAACATAGAGGGTGGGCAGGGACAAGGCATCTTTGGGTGCTGCGTGGTGGGGGGGTGGCCCTTTGATGCTGGGGATCATCATCCCCCATGCAGGGGACAGTGGCCTGGCCATGCCCCGAAGGAATCTGTGGGGTCCTCTGACGGGGCAGGTGAGAGCGGTTGGGGTGAGTCAGGGCTCCCACTTACCCTCTGGGTCTGCCCACATCCCAGGGAGGAGGAGAGGGAGAAAGAGGAAGAGGTGAGGCGGCTGCATGGTGAAGGTGACAAGACCAAAGCAGCAGCAGCAGTGACTGCGGGAGGAGGAAGCACCCATAGGGTCCTACGCTTTAACCCAGCCCAGCAGTCATGCTGGTGGCTCTCCACCAATGGGACTGGTGCGGATGTGCTGGGGAGGGCCCCAGAGGTCCCGAGCTTGAGGTTAGAGATGTGAGGGAGGAAAGCCGAAATAAGATCTTGAGCATGAAATGTCATGACAGGCTGGGGCTGGGGGAGGAGACAGGAGGAGAGGACAGGGAAAGGGAAGCCCAGCAAATGGCACTAGGAGAAAACGGGTGCTCAGGCAACCTGGACCACTGAAACCTCCTCCTCACTGATGGTACCTCGCCCCCATCCCTTTATTTGTGGGATGCATCAGATCCAATGGAGGTGACGATGGGTTTTGGGTTTCAGCCTTGACTGGAGAAAGATGGCTGCTGTCCTCTCAGCCCCGCACAGGGAGAAGGGCTGCTTTGGCCTCCCCCT